TTTGCTAAAAAAANTTTTTTCAGATATAAATCGCTTTTTGTGCTCCGGTCGAAAATCACCGTTGATCAATAGAATTTGTTGAGAAATCACTGTTGATCGAATCGGCGAAAGTTTTGAACTTCAGTGAAAGTTTCGAAACTGAATTGAAATTTACGAAGAATTGCACAATCCCTAATATGAACCAAGAACCAGCAGTATATCAAGAACTATGAATTATTGTTAATAGATGAACCTTATAATTATTCTTTCTCCTGCAATATTTGAGAAGTTGATCAGTCGGAGTAATCGCCTTCTTTGTGGTTACATGTTTTGATCCGAATGAAATGAACAGTTGAGTTTATGACGTGATTGAACACGTTACCTCACCAAAAAGTATCGACAGATTTCTTTAAGCGCCACCGATCAAAATTAATCTACAAAATATAGCTGGAAGCGATTTTCCGGAACCCGAACAGCGTTGGATTAAAAGTCTTCGGGCTGAAGAAATCTTTGGAAAATTTACTTCCCCGTTGAATTTTAAGGAAGTGCAATCGTGCGAAAGTGTTTTGCTTTTATTTTGTTGTTGTCTAGTGCTAAAACCTCATTCGCTTGTCTTGATTAATGTTCCCAATCAGTAACGTTTGATTTATCAGTACCGAATGTTAACTCGGAAAGCAGACTATCCCCATGTTCNAATCTTATTTCACATAAAATCCAGTAGTTGTCTGATGACAAATGTACCAATACATAGTAGTTTTCGTTGCAACAAAAAGTAATTTAAAGTTAGTAACGACTAATTGAAAAGTGAAATATCGTTGAATTTCAATGCATAATTGCAATTACGAACATATACCGCTCTTTGTTATCACATAATATCGTTTTGATCACTTTCTATAAGATCACTTCTTCTACTAGACACAATTGAATGTGATCACAAAATATCACTTTTCATATGATTTTCTCGAAGTGATTGAAGATATCGAAGAATTCTAAAGTGATTATCACTATCGTCGTCATCATCTCATCATTGTTATTATCATCGTCACCATCAGCATCATTCTTATTAGCATGGCAGTACCATCGCAATTGGGAGGGGCACAAATTCGGGAAATGGGCGGTGCATACGAGCGAAATCGGATCATTAAACACGTCGAATTAGGTGCTACTATGTAACGATCGTTCCGTTAAACTCATTCGATCTTCTCATCACATTGCCGAATCAAACGATTTGTTTATGATTCGCTATATTCCGTTTGCATCGCTTCACGTCGAGCGGTCACTGCAAAGCTTGTTGTCGCCATTCATCACCCGATCATTCACCAACACAGATATACGTTATCTCAGTGATTGCCCTTGATTAGATTGCGGCTAGCTGCTTTACGCTAGTGCCTTGAGGCTGTGTGCAATAACAACAACAGCACTTACTAATCCCTATCACATTTGTTATCACACCTGATCAACACGGGTCTATCGTGTCATTTCGGTTGGCTCAAGGGATTCACCGATGTCACCACTGGGTGTCACTGTTTGTTCTCCTTGATCACTTGATACTCTAGTGTCTTCGTGAATTGCGTTACTGCGATGCCGTTCACTGTGTTCCTCGGAATATTTTCGTATCGTTTCGCTGCGCTCAGTTGATCATTAGCTTATCGAATAAGGAAATTCCTCTACTTTTCATAATCGATGCAATATCTCTGATGCGTAACATTCTATCCTCAACAGATCGTTGATCCATAGCCATATTCAGCCGTTTTCAAATCAGTGCTACTGATCTACTTTGTTTCTTTTTTTTTGCTGCACTGCCTCATTTTGCCAGCATCTTCGTCGCACTTTTTTGTTCTCCAACTATTTTTGAATACATTCTTGAGCATTCAGTGCAAACAGCGACTCTGGACTTTTTTCCATATGCATGCGTATAATTTTTATATCTCACGCCATTTTCTGATGCAAAAGAAAATTTTCCGTTCTTCACCAGTTGCTATTCTGGGTCATCGTCTCATGTCTTCATTGCTCTCATATATCTATTATTCCGCTATTTGCGTAAACGTTTATCGCAAAGCCTTCTTATACACGGACTGAATTTGCGCGAGATCTGCTGCAAGAAACATTCTGAGTGATTTGAAATTCGATGGTCTGTGCTTGATTGCGATTTTTTTCCACTGATTCTATCTCGAAATCGCCATACCACTCGCTGTAAAAATGCGTACTGGAACTATTGATGGACCAAAATAAACATTGTACGCAGACACAACAGAAACATTTCTTGTGTTCCAAAGCACCAACTAAACACCTTTCCAACTAAATGCTAATCGACGTTGTGTAGTGGACCCGGCGCCCAACGATATAAAGGATGATGAAATAGATTTGCTCAAAGAGTGCATAATCATGAATGCTTTTTTTGNGTAGCTAGGATGGGAATGATTCATGGAACATAATGTGATCATGTATAATTGAGTGCTAAAACCTGAAAGATTCGGTAGAAATCCTATCACCACAGCAACAATTTCTTTTTCACTAGAAAAAATTCAGCTAAGCCGTCTTTCATTCGCTACAGGAGTTTTCTTTCTTGAATTAGCGAATCTTGATGTTGAATCGTTTAAGTGGCGATTAATCGGGACTGTAGAGAGGAGTTTTGAAGAGGAAGGAATTATTATGCACATTTTTCATCGTCTTTCACTTTACAAGAACAATGTAATTTGGATTGAATGCAACAAAAAATAAATGAAACTTTTGACAGAGTGTGTTACAAAGGAACAATCGCTCAGTTGTTTGTATTTAATACATACACTGAACCAAAAATTCATCCACGATCTATTTGTTATAATGGTTCATTCAGAACATAAATCTCAAGTCGCAACCGTTCGAAACTATCTCTTCCAGCGATTCGAAATTGTTCTTTTTTCATTGATTCACCTGTGAAACGAGATGAGAAATTCTATGTGCATATCTAGCACTATCCAGCTTTTCGACTCTCTTTAAATTCGAAGTACATTTATTGGAAACGTTTCGTTATTTTGACGTATTGAACAACTCATGGTTAAGTTGCGGTAAAGACAGTGCACAACAATCGAAGTACACGAACATGATTCTTTGTTATGTGATATTACGGCTGATATAGAGAACGTTCACAATTCTTGATCACTGTTTCAGAAGCTTTCCGTATGGATTCCGCATTAGATGCAAAACAAAGCGTGCAAAACATCGGCCATTTCTACTGGGTGCAATTTGACGATTACATAACGAACAATATATCCAAGCCATAAACAGATCTTTGCGCAATAGATATGAACATGACGGATCCCTAAGATATTTTAAGTTGTTGAATTCCATGCAAACGCATGCCATTCCATGGGGAGGAAAGCAAAAAACATCGAACCTTTACTGATACTATCAACGTTTCAATTTTTTGGACGGTCTGAGAGATATTTTGCAGTTAATGTTTATTTCGAAAAAGAATTGGCTGAAGTTTCATAACATTTGTGACACTTATATACTTTCAAAATGTCTATTGTTGATTAATTTACTTGTTTATTAATCGNNNGTCAACAACTATCGTGCGCTGTGATTTCAGTTACGTTCCACGCGAACTCCAGTCGAACTCAATCAGAGAGTTCAATTTTTTTTTGTGAACCAATTCATCAAAATCCGCAACCATTCTACCCGAACCGCAAGCCCCGCGTATTGGACTCGCCTTGTCCGACCTGCAAACGCAGAGTAATTCTAGGTTTGTTGCTTTTTCATTCATAAATCTCTCGATTAAACTTTCCTGTGAACTTTTCAAATGGCACAGGAAATGAATGCACCTTTTTATTTCAAAAACGTGAATGTATGATTTAGTAGTGTCGATGAGTGCATCCTGGAGAAATTGTCTTCTCTAAACCTTCTGAAATCTTTTCGCAACGAATTTTGATCATTTCTGCTTTAGTTGACCAACGTGAACAAAAATCAACTAAGTTGTCGCAACTCACTAATGAAAGTGAGTGGCGATATCAGTGTGAATCTGAACTTGGATTGAACGGCATTCACTCGGCTTTGAGCAATTTCACACTTGATCAATTCATCAGTTATCTTTACACGTTGCGCAATCTGTTGATCACATTTGAAACACTCAATGATCAGGGTCAGTAGGACAACAATTGACAATTGACAGAGGATGTTGAAAGCAATTGAATTGTATAATTAGATTATCATAATTCAATGTCATCCATGAGCTACACTGTCTGTAATCGATGACTTTCATTAATCAGGAAACCTCAGGAGTCAGTCATCTAAGCGATTCAGATTTTGCGTTGACTAAACGGCTCTGAATTATTTCTAGCAATAGCAAAACAACAGCAACGTTAAATTCGCTGCAAAAAACGCATTCTTTGTCTCGTTGCTAAAAAAGTTTCCATCTTAACGTACTCTTGAATTGAAAAGTTTTATTGACGTTTTGATGAGAATGACCTAGTTTTGATTGCGTTTGTTTCGGGTCAAGTGATTTAATTAGGAACGATGGAATGAAGAAATGACTCGTGATAATTGATGATATGATTATTCGTTTCGCATTTCAATTAAGTGATTGATGAGTTGTTGTGAATAAATGCGAAATCGCGTTCACATCCAACAAAACATTTCATCTTATTCCGCAATTTGCTTTCCTCATTAACGTTGTAATATCGTTTTTGATTCAAATAAATATCTGAATGAAATTCCTCTGAAGTTCTTCGGTTTTAGATATTGTAAATGAAATTGAATATGTTGTTTTTCGCAGTTCTATTGAATTGAATCGTGCAAAAACATACTGCCACTCTTATGGTGGATAAGGACTTTCATTATCCACTCACATATATTGCACTAAGAGCTGATTGGGGAACAATTTAACTAAATTAAACGTAACAGTAGAACACGCACTTGTCTCCAGTTTGTCTCCATATTGATCTAAGCAATTTCTCAAAAGGGAATGTTTACCGTACATTGCAAATAACCAAGTTACCGTTGTCATACTTTACAGCGTAAGCAGCTATGGACTCGGGAGTGGAATGAACGGCGGTAATTGGACAACACGAGGTGTGGGCGGAGTTAGCAGTGATTCATATTTGCAACAAGGAGGAGGAGGCGGTGGTCTTTTTGATAAAAGTAATAATCGACAAAAAGTGAGTTGATTGTTTACGATATCCTATGCAAGTGCACACATTTCACGGTGTTTCATTAATTCATCGATTCGAGTTCATCATAATCTTTACAACGAATTACTTTAATTAACAACAAGTACAATAACTACTTAACAATTACTTCAATAACAATTACAATAACAACGAATTACTCTTCAAGCAAGGAATAGATTCATGCGATACGTAAAAAGCATCGTAAACTTCCATTTTAAGCACACCTTTAATGCATACACTTCCACCTGATTTTACTCACTGCATTTGCAAACTTTAAGAAATTTCGCATTCTGAATTTCTATTTTCATAACGACGAACAGAAGATATCCAACAATATTGTGAGAGAATTGTGATGGGATAGCGAACAGAATAAATTCATTAAGAAATAATATTGTTTCAAGGATCGATACGATTCCTCCTCGTCCTACTCATCATCAGGCGGAGGTCTGTTTGGAGGGCCAAGTTGTAGTTGTTCATCCGGTTCATACGGTGGACTCTTCGGCAGGAAGTGATTCTCAGGTACTGAATATCTAACGATTATGAGCCATCGTTATTTGCTAGATTAGTCGGACATGATATGAACATGTTTGATCAGAGTTACACGGAAATAAATGTTCTGCATTTTCCTCTCGCAATTTCGTTTTGCGTGCAAATGCAATCGTTCGAAAATTTTCGCTTTTATAAGAAAATCGTCGAATCTGAAAGAAGCCATTTCTTGATGAGCGCTAAAAGCGTTCTCGAGTTTATGCAATGGCAAAACGTCTTAAAAGTGATCATTGTGATAAAATGAATCATTTCAGAGCGTTGACATTCATGACGGCATCCAAACTAAACTCAGCGAATCCAAGTCTGCCGTCATACGATGATATTCCAGAATTGCTTTGATGTACAGATCGAATTCTTCTAAAGTGTGATACAACTTGTTTTATTTATGTTAATGGTCACTGCCCACACAAACTTGAACTGCTTAAGCTGTCAGCTCGCCGCTCACAACCAGTCACTGTAAGTTTTACTATGACTAATAATCCACACTTCTTCTCTGACTAACTGTAGGGCAAGAGAAGCGAACGTTCCATTGAGACTTTCTTGTATTTCGCAATTTCTTCAGGGAAAGAGAAACGCATGGATATCCTCGATGTTAAAACAAGAGCATGGGAACATCAGGCTAAGAGCTCGTAACAAATTTCCCGCATCCACTGCATCCCAAATTGGTGGTGAACCTCTAAAAGTATCGGAAATGCTCAAAGTATCAGGCGATGCCATGCGAATAACGCCAAACCATTTCGACATCCCAGTGATTAAAGGCGATGCAAATGCGGAAGGTAAATTCTTTATCATATAATTTTGTAAATCTTGTATAGTAGGTGATTATCTGTGCCGTCGATCGATAGGAAAATTGCTCTGATGGTTCGAATTATGCCTTATTTTCTATTTTTTAGGTTCAGGCGAACTTCAGCAATCAAATATTCACAACAGATGCGTGCAAAATCCACCAACTGCTGTATCGAATCTCGATATACATGCAGATTGTGGAACGCAGCTGCCTAGTCCACCTTGTTCTCCTTGCTTGCCAAGGAGAACGGTTGACGATATGTTTTGCACATGCTGTCAGCAATATGTTAGTTTTTCCTATTTCTAAACTTCGTATTCTGCATCGTTCCCCTCAAATTCTAGTCAAACGATTCCTTAATAGAGCACCGCCTGCACTTATCCACCAGGATGTCGTTCACTCAGCTCTTCTCATAAGAAAGTGTACACGTTCTGGCTATTTTGAATATTTCATGATGATTTCAGGTCCCACTGAAATGTCACAGTTTGTGTATCTACACATATCTGAGAACAGCGCATGAGGACATTTGTGGTTTGGAATATTTGAGTGCGATTCTGCATTATGCGAGTAGAAATCAAGATAATCGAAATTACTGCCGTTATCTTGGTATGGNAGGTATTGAACGTTCATCTCATTATCAATATGACAACAGCAATTTCTGTTGTGTGCTTTGTCATGCTGAATTTCATGAACAGTTAATGAAGCGTGTGTCTGGATTTCGCATGATCCATATGATAATATAGATTCATTAGCATCACTTCATCGTAATAAATCTTTTATTCATTCATCTGTGTAGTACTTCTTGATGTTTTCAGATTGTGGGTGTAACGTTCGTAGGTGTAACGTCGGTGAGTCGGTCGATCGTGCTAGCACTTTAGAAGAAGACGATGTGGTATGTCTTGGCAACTGGAATGTTATCATGTATTGTGCACGTGCTGGTATAAACATTATTTATTGAGTGAATATTTCTTAACAAGTGAATTTATTCAATTCGTTCTCAGCTTCTGTCTAGCTGATCTTCCTTAACGGATCAACAAAATGGATACCACAATGAAAATACTGGTGTCTACACCATCCAGATGAAATCAGATTTATCAAGTATTCAACTTGTTAGAACGATATTTTCCAAATTGCTTAATTCTCTCCCACAGTGACGTCCGAAAAATTATTTCCAAATTCCAGCACATGCACAAAATAAAATCGTTTCCTTTCTTGTTTCCGTTCTGCATGTTTCATAACTATTTATTTAGCAGACACTATAATATAATGGGCAGTTCAACATGTATATATTCATATATATTTGCAAAAAATGTGCAACACATATTTATCGCATATAATATCATGAAAGTCCTAATAATCTTATATTTTCTAAATTTGTTATTCATTCAGTTCATTTCGATCAACTTGTTGTGATTTGAAGTCATTATGTGCCTATAATAATTCTAATGTTATTGTTGATGCTTCAGTTGAAAACGAAAGTCGTTCGTCGTGTCTTCTCTCTTGTTTCGTGTCAATTGCTTGCATTCAATGAATTGTTTGTGTAGTAATAAGCTGTGGCGGGTGATTTCTTTCCATTTATGAATGCATTGTTCTTGATATCTTCGAATATTTGTATGCTAATACATTTGTTGTGTCAATCCCAGGTCCTATTGTTTTTTCATGCTCTCGTGCAAGTCTCCAGAAATTTGCCTTTGTTTAATATTTGCTTCACTCTATATTTCGTCTGAAATTCTTTTCCTGTGACGTGTCCTTATCCTCAGGTTCTAGGCACACAATTCTCTCAATTTCCCAAACTGAAAAGTTCAAACCGTAGAAACAGAGAATAGCGTAGGGACGTTGTGCAAAAATAGCCATAAAAACAGTTGAAATGTTAGCTGATCATGGCAGCTATTAAATGATTCTACCCATAGAATTCGATCATAATCTTACTCGACTAAGATTTTGTTCTGATAATGGATCTGAAACCAGTTCCAAACAATGAATATTCGAGTATAAAACGGTTTTCTTCTTCAACCAACTAGTGTGACGTTTCTAGCGTCAACTAGTTGATTGTAATGTATCTTTGACGAACTTATTTTTATTTTGTCTAACATTTCCAAACTGAATTCATAATTTNAGAATTTTAAAGATATTCAGTGCCTCTATCTCGCACAAATAAGTGAATAAAATGCAATGAACTGAGTGGTTGAATATGATTAGAACCAAATCCAAATCCCATCTTTTTTGGTGTGCCTGAATGCCTGAGTTTATGGATCGTTCCTTTCCTGTTCTGTACAATTGTGAACTTTGTTTGTTGCCAAAGAAGACTTCAATCAACAGTCGTTTTCCATGAATTCTCATAGATGACTTTTTCTCAAACTGTTGAGTGATGTCCCAAATCGAATACGTTACCTATTGAATATCGTATCCCCTTGCGATCATTGTTTTCATAAGAACGACTTCTATTATTCATCCGTTATCGCTTATTACTATTGAGTATAATCGCCATTATTCACTGTACAAATAATGAGATCTTTACAAATGTTATTGTGCTATGTTAATAAATACTTATTAATAATTCGTTTGTATGTGTCGATGTTGGAGCCTCGCCTAAGCAAAACAAAGTTACGATTCTCTATAGTAATCTTATGGGGCATAAATTGAACCGCTGGAAAAGTATATATTTCTGGTTGGATTACAGTGAAATAATTAAGAATGCAAATGTATTTATATATGAATATAGTTTGAAAAGTGAGCATGGAAAGCGAAGGTGTAGTAGGAGTAGGTGAAGGCAATGAAAATTGGAAGTGTAGTGAAAGGGATTTATCGTATGTCGTGTGGTTGGGCAGAGCGCTTACGGCAAACGTATCATTTACTTATACATACACCAATAATAAACAGAACAAATTTTGCACCCAAAATATTAGTTAGATTAAGGTATCATAAGAGGGGATGATGCTATAAGAAATGACGTGATGTGCATTGCAAAAACCAATATATTTCGATACATTCAGAAATAAGATATAACAAATTGATAAGGAACAAATATTGCACATCAAAGGTGAATCACAAAATTCGTGAATATCTTTACTCACGACAGGAGGGTAATAAGTGAAAAATATACGAAAGAGATGAAATACATGGTGGCAGTTCATGTTTTGACCCTTAGTCATTGACGTGTTCTCCCAGACTATGCACGGGCCATTGTCAGAACGATATGCATATGGAAGGGACAGAACTTTATGGGGAACGAAATGACAGAGGGATCCTTCACCTAGAAGACTTGGGAAAAGCGTTGTATGAAGGAACAATAGTACCATACAGAACAATAATGTTGACCACAGGTAACAATAATGTTGACATCTGTAGTACAATTCATTCAGTTTCAACAGAGGAGATATGTTTGCAACAAAAGTCATCTTCGCCGAGGTAAACTGCTGTAATCCATTCTGGAATAACCGATGCATCCATGATGAAAAAAGATTAATTCCGCGCAATATGACATAAACGAACCAATAAGAACATGACTGCAGCGATAATGCTAGCCGCCGTCATCGCCAATTAATTAGTAACAAATGACCAACAATTAAGCCAATCTTATCAATATTAGTTCATAAAATGCAAAATTATATTCAGTATTTACGAATTTTATGAATGTGCAAATTATTTCATCCGTTTAACGGTCGTCTCAATATGCTTATGCAAACTGCTCATAAGAATATTGTCTTCGACAAAGAAATAACCTCATTTGTCAAGGGTAACAAAGAACAATAATGTCGAGGGTAACGAATTGCGATGGTCGTCGGCAGAATACCGAGTTGAGACGTTCGTTGACCAAATACCGAGTTGAGATGTTCGTCTCAAAAATATATTTTTGAGGCTCATAATAAATTTTGCCTAATGAGGATGGATTTCACGGCAAAGATATTCTATTTCCGATTTTTGAAATACCGTAATCCTGGGGTACATAAGACACTGCGACAGGTTTGCATTCAGTCGATGAGTTTTACTAGTAACGAACGATAACAACGAGGAAAACAACAAGACAATAATTTGAAAACACTTCAACAATAAATAAAACCAGCAAAGAACTTCAATTTACTTAATTCAACGAAACAAATCAAACAGAACACTACTGATGTTCGATACTTGATACTAGGCTATTGTGATCTCACAATAGTCGCAAAAATGCACCAACAAATTCCAGTTGTAATTTGAATCGATTAGCAGTTGACGATGATTCTGTGCGCACTCAGGTGTGACACTGAACGTCAAACAGTCCGATGACACGAGGTTCGATCCGGTGATCTGATGCAGCTATTGACTACTGAATATTATAATATAGTAACTTCGACGAATCAGCGTCGAATAGATTCTTCAGTGAATTTGATTGACTGGTGAATTATTTGAAGACGATAATATCTCTTCGTTTGAGATAATCGAACAATATCTGCAATAACAATTGAGCAGATGAGTCTCAAATAACTCATATAAATGATATAGTAACAAAACAATACCAGTCTCAAGCTTGAGGTGATTCCTTGTTTTCTGAATATTCTAAATATTCAGCTCGAATTGCTTTCGTCCTTTGCTGACGCCCCAACTTTGTGCATCACCTCAAACTTCGGTAATTAAATCAAGTTAATTATTCAAGAACATTAGTTGATAAACTGCTAACATTCATAGTCTATTTAGACACAAAGATTTAATTATTATAAGTTCAAAAAAATCCATGAAGAAGATTACAATCGAAACAGATTCACTGAACAATGGTTACATATAATTGAGGATAGGCCATTAATAACAATAAAACGAGAACCGTTCCATGAGAAACGACATATTAATGATGAACCAAACATTGACGATGAACAAATATTGATGATCCATTTCAGAAACAAACAATGACAATTTATTAAATGCTGTATTGCGCTTATTTAATTTCGTCATAAATTGCCTTATGCAGCTTTTTCGCGATGTTCGCGACAATGGGGTGGGAGGCTAGACGGTGGATACAATGTGCAACACACACAAGAATATTACAAATCGGCTTCTTGGATCATTCGACTCATGGTGTTTCTATTTTTGCCTTGAGAATTCTTTCTTTGATAGAACAAAAATAAAATCATGCAGTCGTACCTAATTCGCTGCTACGGCGATAAGACTATTGCCTCTGGGATATATTTTTGAGGCTATCGCCTCTGGAATATAGTTTTGAGGCTATTGTCGCTGAAATATACTTTCAAGGCCAATGAATCCAGAAATAGAATATCCAAATGATCGAGCCGAAGACAATTTATGCACCAGATGGCTTACCTTTTATACAGTTTCGACTGTCAAGGATTCCATCCCTTTCCGATGAATTTAGGCCCATGTTTTGACTTGTTTTGTTGACTTTTCCTAATGGTTTTATTATCGGTCCTTCGATCAGCTCGTTCTGCCCCGAATGATGTGCTTATAAATCGAAAGAATTGCTTGAACAGTTATCAGCTGCTTCAATCAGTCAGTCATTTTTGATGTTGAAACTGTAATTACTTTTTTGCTGAAGTAATCAATTCTGGTTTTAATTGCCTGTAATGTTGTGTGAGAGAGATATTTGTTTCTCTGGTTATTATTTGTTTGAATATGAATGTTTAAATGATACAAGTGGAAAATAGATGCTATATAAAATGACGTAAGATATGTATTACAAAGATAATATATTTTCGATATATTCAAAAACAAGATAGAATAATCTGATAAGAGATAGATATTGTACACTAAGGATGAATTAAAAAATCATGAATATCTTTATACATGACAGGAGGATCTTTTAAATTTGATAATCCTTTTCGATAGTGTCTGAAGAATATTAATCAAGCTTGAAATATTACCTTGTGTTTGATTTAATCTATGAATGTAATAATTATACTGAACACTTAATGCAAACCAACAAATAACCGCTCTGCTGATTGGTGTAAGGAAGAGTCGATGTCGCTGATGGTCGATATTACTCGAAGTTGCTTCTTCTTTGAAAGTTTGATGATTGATGATGAAACTGGATTTGAATTGAGTTTGAATGTGAATCCGAGTGCACTCAAGAATTAATTGAATAGCTGTATCTGATGACTTTGATGTCAGTTGAATACATCAATTTGAATTATTGTATCTCAACAGATGAGACGTAGAACGACTGTTCACCAACAGTTTTGATTTGAAGCCGACAGATTTGATAAATGACCAATTTGGATATAACCACGTTTGATGAGTCGAGTATCTGATTAGGTTCCAACACTGGCAAATTAAGTTGACCAATCCAAGTTGAGCAAACAATGCCAGTATTTGAGATCGGTGGTTGAATTTTAGTACTGGATGATTTGCTGCCAATGAATCGCAAATTTCTTTGGATCGTACCACCAATCTCAAACTTGGGTAATTAAACCATCGATAATTACAACGATAATAACATTTTAAGTGAACTATTCTCAACTAAATTCAATATCTAAACGAACGGAAACTATTATGATTGAAACGCTGAATAAGAAACAAAATGATGATGCACTGGTATGAAGTATGATGACTTTTGGATGTTGGAAAGTTGAGGTTGCCGATCCACTGTTGNTTCGAAAAGAGCCCAAAAGTCATACCAGCGAAATTGGCCGCCACTGAATATGGGCAATTCCATTTTTGGTAGAGGCACCAAACCAAGAGGGGGGTTGGGAGCTGGACATGCTGGGCGGTTGGGTGAAGGAGGTTGTAATTGATGAAGGGCGGTATTGAGGTCGTGTTCCAGAAATTCGAGTTTTTGAATGCGGTTAGTAATTTGGTCAAGGGTTGAGTAGAGGCCCTTGGGGTCATTGACCATTTTGTTGAATGAATCGTGTTCGGCTTCAATGAGTGCCGGAGAATCTTTGGGGGAAAGTTGGTTGATTTTGCTCCACCACTGATCGAACATTTGTTGGAGCATGGCATGTTTGGCTTGAAGAAGGCGACGAGTTGTGTTATCCGTGCGGGCGATCTGACGAATAGTGGTAACTTGTTCGTGAAGATCGACTTCCGGGTCGACGGAAAATTCGAGCAGTTTGTCGCTTTGTAAAATTAGAGGTTGACATGCCGTAATAGCTGCGGGTGAGGTGAGTGATAAGTGAGTCAATCGAAGTGGGACGGCCCTTTGTGGCTCACCAACGACCATTCCCTGTGGCGCTCCCCACCTTCTCATCCAACTCAGAATGAATGCACACAAGAAACCGACCACAAAGATATTTCACTATTATCCACCATATGCATCACCGCACTCCCACAAACAACCTTCAAACTGATAGAACCAGCATGATTCAGCTCCTGGAACCGCCTGCTAGGAGATACTACACGAGCCTTACGTTATACCAAGCGAATTTCTCACAACCAACTCGAATGGTTACAATCTATGTCCACCTCC